CATGGTGACCATATGAAGGAGTGATCTCCAAATGTCCTGTTCTCAGCTGCCCTTCTCAGTTCTTGGAACCTCAAGCCTGTGATTTCCTTTAAGGAATTAGTCCGACCTGTATTTGGCTTTCCCCATTTCCTGTTGCCTTTCACCTTTCCCAGTGTTAACTGTGATTTCTAGAGAATCCTGCCTTCTCATCATTAGTTCTAGTAAGGAGAATATTTTTCCATTCAGTAGGGAATTAAAGAGCAGAGGTCACTTTTTTGGGGTTACTGAGAATGTGCAGTTTTGATTTGGAGTTTTGGGACTGCAACTCCCAGAATTCTTCAGGAATTCCCCAGGCAGAATTCTGGGGGTTCCAGCCCACAGTTCCACTGTTCCTGCAGCCACATACTGTATTTTCCATGTATAAGACTATCTTTTTGTCTAAAATCTTTAGACTAAAAATTGAGGGTCGTCTTATACACGGAAGTAAGCTGAAGAGAGAACAAAAATAAGTGGAGGGAAATGCAGGGATCAAAGTGATCCAGCAGGGCTTTGATCCCTGATTTCCCCTCCACTTGCTAAGCCCGACTTAGATTTCTTAATTTTGGGTTAGAAAAGTGGGGGTGTCTTATACATGGGGGCATCTTATACACGAAAAAATATGGTATATTTTACTCATCTGGACCAGGGCCTGTTTCAGAGGCCCCATGCTAATCTCAGGCATTCCCGTCATTAATGTACATAAAAGGAGGCTGCCGGGGTGCTTTTTAGATGTTATAATTGGGGGTGTGCGTGCTCCCCCTATAGAGCTTAAAGGGCAGCATGCTGCGAAAGCACTGCAGCAACTTTCGGGGGTGTGCGTGCTCCCCCTATAGAGCTTAAAGGGCAGCACGCTGCGAAAGCACTGCAGCAACTTTCATTTTGATGTGACCTATGGACTGGAATTCCCAGAATTCTGCATTTGCTGGTGAATTCTGGGAGTTGCAGTCCAAAAAATCTGAATGGCCCATCAACCGTGTTTATTTCAAGTGGAAGCAAAGCTGCAGCCTCTCATGCTGTCTGTATTTTGAGTGACTGGCAGCCAGTTTCTGGGCAGGGGAGGTTGTGTATTTAGCACTAAACAATCATTCCTCCCACACTTTGATTTGAAAGAGAACCCTGCCTTTCTGCTGAATGTCTTCTCCCTCTTTCATCCGTTGGTAGCAGTTATTGTTTGCTGTTGATCTGCTCAGCTGGTTGCTAAGTATATGTGTAGTAAAGAAAGCAGCATGCAGAAGTCTGTCATTACAAGCAACTGTAAATAATGTTTTTAATTTTTTCTCCTACAAATGTCTCAGAGTGTGTTATTGTGACTTTATGTTCCAGTTAACGGGAAAGGGGTAGACTCTGGAGAACATGAAACTATTCTCTGTGGCTCTCTGTCCACTCCTACTGCATAGCAAAAAGGAATGTTACCTGCAATTCAAAACTCAGCAGCAGCATCAATATACCCATGTTTTGAGTGAGGAAGAATGATCGATTTGTAATCTAAATTTTCTTCTTTTGACGGCTAAAGCTTCAACCTAACCTTTAGCTTTAAATCAAAGCCCAGCTCTGCCTCCACCTTTGGAAATACGTATATAAACACAAACTTGCATGGCCGTGTATATTAATACATTTGTGAATGTGATCTGGCAAGTATTTTGTGAGCCACGTGCCGTCAAGGCAGTGACTCTACATATTGTGGGGTGTGACTCTGCCTAACAGTAGCCCTGGCGTGCTTTTCTGGAGTTGCATTTGCCTCTTGGGCCCACATTTTGCCCCTCACCTCTGCAACAAAGCTTTTGTTTGATTTGAATGGCCAACTATAATCTAACCTTTTCCATGCATGAACATCCAGCAATAGTAATACTGCTTCCAGCAAGCTGCCTCTCCCTCGGTGTGATGATGCAACAGGGATGAGGATTATTATTCTAGGCATATGATGATTTGTTACATTTCAGTAACTTAGGTAATACAGCACCAAATCTATTTCATGGACACTGACTCCCTAGACGATGGTTAAAAGTTTCCTGCACATGTCGGGCTCTAAATATTAAATCAGAAGAGGGTAGGCTTAAACCTATGGAGAGCAGAAACAACACAGCTTGGTGATTGTCAAAGAGTGTCTTTAACCAGGACAAAGTTCTGGCTGTATCATCTATAAGTCACTTAAATAGACTTTGAAGAGAGTAGGAAAACCAAAGAATAATCAAGTAGAATTGGGCTCCTTGGATACAGGACAAATTTTCTGTGACTGTGGAGAAATTCAATCAATGCAGCATTTACGTGCATGCAATTTATGCCCCACCAAGTGTATTAAAGAAGATCCAATAAATGGCCAAGATAATGCTATTAAAGTAGCCTGCTTCCGGTCAAAATTAGTCTAATCATTTTAACAATTTAAATGTGTCTGAATTTTATATTTCACATACTGCATGCCCTTAATTTTAAATTGTGTAACCCTCTGATACAAAGAAAGAAAGAAGAACACTTAGGTGCTATTCCTTATACTTAAAAGTAGTGTTTCAGGCTCTGCTAAAATTACTTGTTACTCAAAGGATGATTTCTGAGTTTTGGCAGACAGAGGGCTAAACCCAATGGAACTTTCACCCATTGAAATAAATGTGACTTGTTAATCACAAGCAATGTAAACTCTATTAATGTAAACTCTATTAACTTCAATGTGTCTGTGCTAGATTTAGATTTAGATCAGAATGAACCTTTTCATGAAAGGACCATAGCTAAGTGAGAGAAAGCACATGCTTCGGTTGTAGAAGGTTCCAGCATCAACTTCTGGTACCTCTAGCTTTAAAAAGAAAGAAAGGTGAGCGAGGGAAAAAGACAGAAAGAAGAAATGATGGGAACTGCTCCGACCCTGGAGATTCCGCTGCCAGTCAGAATAGGGACAGATTTCTTAAAAACCTGATTGGGTGCAACAAAGCTTTCTATCATAATTTCAGGAATAGTGCACAAATAGAGCCCACACTTTATAGAGTCAATATGAGTTAGAGTGTCAGAGTGAGAGTCTGGTGATCATGCCCACACTGAGCCTTGAAATTCATTGGCTGCTCTCTCTTCCCTCCTTTGTCCTGATCTACCTTTCCAGGTTGTTGTGAGGATGAAGTGGGGACGAGAGCCATGAATCTTGTTTTGACCTCAATGGTGGAAAGTTGGGATATAAACGCAATGATCAATAATAAAATAATAAGGAAATAACATCTACCTATCTACCCAGGAAGTGTAAGAGAGAGAGAGAGAGAGAGAGAGAGAGAGAGAGAGAGAGAGAGAGAGAGCGTGTGTGTGAGAGAGAGAGAGAGAGAGAGAGAGCGCATGCGTGTTGGAGATCCCATATGTAATAGAAAAATAGCAGGTTGTGTGAAAGAGACAGTCAATGCCAGTCAGGACAAACTATTATCACTTATAACTGAGAGAGAGAGAGAGAGAGTGCATGCATGTTGGAGGTCCCATATGTAGTAGAAAAATAGCAGGTTATGTGAAAGAGACAGTCAATGCTAGTCAGGACAAACTATTATCACTTATAACCGCCTTCCCCCAAATAGGCGGCTTCCAGCTGTGTAGGCTTACAACTCCCGTGGCATCTGCCACTGGTGACTGGCGCGAGGTGTAATCCCTCAAAGGGATGATATTGGAGAACACTGAACTAGATGAATCCAGAATCTGATCCAGAACTTGGAAAAGTTACAGCTGTGCTGGCTGGGAGTTAAAGGGTAGAAAAGTAACTTTTCCAAGCCCCAGAATGACCGGATATAAAACAGCTTCATAGGTCCCTAGAAATATGCTGCTTGTTTGTGTCCCCTGCCTGCTGCTTACGGCGCAAAGTTGAAATAACGAAGCATGACTCTCATCCCGCTTTTAAAAATTAAATATAAATATTTGAATTCTCCAGGAGGCAATCCATTTACCATTTCCCCTTCTTCTTATATAAAGCACCACACACTCTAAACAGGCATGATTACCGTGTTCCGCTGTGAAATCCCATACTTTTAAAAAAGAAGAGAAGAGGGAGAAAAAAAGAGAGTGAAATAAAAAAAAAACCCTGAACAATCAATCCCCAAAGCAAAAACTAAACCATCCCCAGTGATTCTGGAAAGATCAAAATAAAAATGTCAAAAAAACATCCAACAACAGAAATCCACTTAAGGCAAAAAGTAATAACAAGAAATAACTTAGTGTGTGTGTGTGTGTATGTGTATGTGTATGTAAAATAAAAAGCATCATGTACGCGCACACAGACACGCACAAATAAAATTAACTGATCTCATCAGCTTTTGGCTTCCTGCTTTCTCCTGCACACCTACCCGCCCTTGGCTTTCTGAAAAATTGAATTTCAGTCCTCCACATAATCCTTTCATTTCAACCGTTGTTGCCTTTAGCCAGAAGTTTCCTGTCAGGTCATATATATACGATATTGAACGCTGACGCTCCCTTCTGGCTAGCCTTGGATAGTGCAGGTACCTTTCCATTCGAAAGCCAGCTGCCAGAGTTTTTGTTTATTTGTTTGTCTGTTTGTTTTAAATTATCGTTATTTAAAACATTATTACGTATTATTATTATTATAATAGGGGATGAGAGGAAATCTAGCTGCATTTGTATCCGTCCAGAGGCTCCCCTGCTAATGAAGAGGAAAAAGGGAATAATTGAAAACCACAGCGTCAAGCCAGGAAAAAATTAAAATGCAAGCATTAGCACCCATGCTTAGAGATTTCCCGGAATCATGCGACTTGAGGACAGTCTTGCCATAGGGCAACTCTAGTGGGGAGCCAAGGACAAGTGTCATATAGTCTTTTCGTTGAGGCTCCAGCACCACCATTTTGTACACTATCTCGAGTGCCTGTTGGCTTTTCGCCGATGCTTCTCCCACCATGACAACCAGCGCTGTCCGCCATTTTGTTTCTAGGTTTTTATAAGCTAAGCCCCTGCCTCCCCATCATGATCCACAAAAAGCCCACTCTCAGTTTCAGCAGATGGGTGCCTTTCATCTTTTTTCTTTTTAAAATCCACCTCCATGTCCTGATGTGAAGAAAAAAACCATTTTGATCAGTTTCCTCCCAGTTGGAAAGATGGGAGGCAGGCGGCCGGTCAGCCCTCTTGGCTGCCTCTGCAGGTGGCTGAGCCCGCTCCCCTGCCATCTCCCCACCCCCAGATAGTGATGAAAGGGTGTCCCCTCAGCACGAGGTCAAGGACGTGAAGTCTTGTCACCCGGCCTTTGGGAGTCACTTAGCCAAAGCGAGCATCCGTTCATTTTTTCGTTCCCTCTGAAGGTGAAAGAGGTTTGGCAGGGGATGGGCATGAGTCATACATGGGTTTGCATACGCTGGTGGGCAGGGCGCCCATAGTCAGATTGCTGAGACAAGGAGGTATAGGAGAAGCGCGAACAGCTTGAGACTTTGCTGGCCTGATCCGACGGCTCGTACCCGCTCTCGGCTTTCTCGTAGCTGCTGGGCTTGACGTAGCTGGTGAAGGCCCGGCTGTAGGGGGCGGTGAGGTAGGCTGTCCCGCTGTATATGTTCTCCTGAGGGAAAAGCCGCTCGTGGGGGTCGTAGGCCGAGCGGGAACCCGGCGTGCCCAAGGTGTAGCGGTGGGCGTATTCATACAGCTTCGGTTGCACCGGCCCCGCAGAAGGGTACAAAGAGGTTGCCCCAAACAAGGGTCGGGGGGCTGGCGTATATTCTGAGAAGCTGCTTCCCAAACATGGCTCTTCGTGGGCACGGACTTTGTAGTAGCCGTTGGTGGGATCCTGCGGGAAGGGCAAAGAAGAAAAATTTGAAATACCAGGGAGGGAAGTAGAAAATAAAGACTACCAGGGTGTGGTTCTCACTGGCTATTCTGCCCTAAGACTGGCATGTCTACCAGCCTGCTTAGGAGCTGCACACCCCGGTTTTCACGTTTGGGACCAAGACATATCCCGGTTCAAATTCCCACTCGGCCACCAGTCCTTCTCTGGGCAAACATGAGCCAACCACTGGATGCTTCCAGATGAAGGTTTTATTTTGCACCCGCCTTACGTCTGAGTCACAGAATTTTCCACGGGTGTCCAGATATGTTCGACTTGCATTTATAACTCTATTTCCCATCTACTAGGGATGCTCTGAGCTGCCAGTGTGGTGCAGTGGATAGTGTGATGGGCTAGGATTTAAGCGACCTGGATTCAAATCCCTGCACAGCCATGGGAACTCACTGGGGTGGTGGTGGTGGTGGCATTGGTAAAATCACTCCTTAACATCTCGCATACTTTGAAAGGTGAGGCTGCCATGCCTCAGAGGCAATTTGATGGCACATAACAATAGGGATGCTCTAGCTGAGGAGAGTGCAGTCTGTACAGATATCTGGTGGCTGCACATGCAAATCCAAAGAACTTGAAGGACTGTATCTTCTTCTATCTTCGCCCCTATCACAGTATGTTTTATTTTCCTTACACTGAGACATCCACTGCCAGAGTTGTGTCCTCTGTTGTCGTTCTGCACCATCAAGGACACAGAGTGTCCAAGCAGCAAATGTAAGTTTCCATGGTCAAGTGGAATAGGAACCAAGATCTCTTGAACCCTAATTCAGCACTCCATTCATTGCACCATACCAGATCTTCTCTAGAGTGGCCAAATTTTTAAAATTAAAAGATTTTGGGTGTTTGGGAAGGGGTGACAAGAATGTGGTAAACCTCCCCACTTCCTCCAGAGAAAAGAAAGGGTTTTTCAGAGATAAACCCTTTCTTTCTGCAAATGTTCAAACTTTTTTTTGGTAGTTGCGCGGGGATGTTGGGGAGGTGCAGGGTCCACCTGCTCTGGGTGTAGATTTCCTGCATCAACAAGGGGTTAGACGACCCTTCAGGTCCTCCCATGTTTTCCAACCATTCCTATCTTATTTCTTTCTATGAAAACATAAACTTGATGGGCAGAAAACAACACAGAACAGTTGTATAGCACCTTTCAAAGGGTATTCGTAGGAACTGCTTGTCTGGATACAAGCAGTCTCTTGAGGCCCATCCTACCTTGGGGGATGTTTCGTGAGAATAAAATGTTGTGTGATGAGAAGCAATGAATGATGAGTGTTGCTTGGAGTTCTTGGAGGAAGGATGGAGAGAAAAGGAACGAATGGATGGATAAATCAGTGAAGAAATTCAAGGTTTGCTGTGAGCTTAAGAGTATGAGAATCGCACAGAATTCTTTGCCACAATATGGTGATAGCTTTGATTTTAGATGGCTCTTAGAAAGAATTGGTCCAATTCTTCACAATGTGATCTATGAGCATCCTTTGCCCATAGGAGTTCAGCACGGGACCTCCATGGTCTCATAAGATGCTGGAGTGAAGAAGCCAGCATGGCTGTTGCTTCCATGCCTTTGGGTTTGTGTCTGAGAAGCAACCAGCTGGGGTGGGTGGGTGCTGTTGGGCACACAGTGCTGAGAAAAGGGGTTGGGAAACCTGTGGCCCTCCAGATGTGGTTGGACTCCAATGGCAATCAGCCCCTGTAAGCACGGTAAACGTTGAGGGATGATGGGAGCACCCTGTTTCCCCGAAAATACAAGACCTAACCTGAAAAGAAGCCCTAGTAGGATTTTTCAGGATGCTCGTCATATAAGCCCTACCCCAAAAATAAGCCCCAGTTCAGTGAAACCCTGCCCTCCACCACGGTGCAGCAACCAGAAGATGATGTGACCGTAAAATAAAAACATCCCCTGAAAATAAGACCTAATGCATTTTTTGGGAGCAAAAATTAATATAAGACCTGGTCTTATTTTTGGGGAAACAGGGTAGTAGTTTGTCAATACTGAGAGGTCCACAGCATCCCCACTCCTATAGTAAAATACAGGTCTTTCCTAGGATCAAGAGAGGCAGTTTTTACACTCCTGTGACTCTCGAAACAGGAGTTTTGTTGTTTTTGTTTGCCATCAAGCTGCATCCAATCCATGGCGACTCTATGAACAAATTATTTCCAGTATGTCTTATCATTTACAGCCTTGATCAGCTCTTGCAAACACAAGCCTGTGGTGCCTAATGGAGGCAATCCATCTTGTATTTAGCCTTCCTCATTTCCTGCTGCCTTCTTACATGTCTTTGGCTGCAAATACATGGGCAGATACTGTGGGATTTGCTGTTGGGACATGAAGTTCAGCAGTGGGGGAACATGCCCCGCCTTCTTTCCCGTCCCTGATCACCCTCCTTTTTAATTTTTTTTTAAAAAATTCATACATATATGAGATCAGCACTAGATCACCTTATCACCTCATTGCTGCGTCTTCATTTATTATCATATCCTGCGTCTAAGCCCCATAAAAGGATTGGCAGAGGCAGGACGAGAGAAAGAAGGAAAGAAGGGAGGTCTGTGGGCTGGAAATGGAATCACGTTGCATTTCAGTATGAATGGGGGCCTCTGGAATCAATCCGTAGCCCCTGTCTGAGCAGTGGTTGCAATTTCAAACATAACACAGGCTGCTAATCAAATCATTCCGATTTGGCTTCCCAGTGTAGTTACCATATTTTTCCATGTTGTGTATAAAATGACACTTTTTCCTTAAATAATTTGAGAAAAAAAATTGAGGGTTGTTTTATACACGGAAGGCAGCTCTTTACCACTGCCTTTTGTGAAGACACGGGGCTTCGCAAAAAGGAAGGGGAGGTGTTGCTCCCTTCCTTTTTTGCTAAGCTCCGTGACTTCTCAAAAGGCAACGAAAAGTGGCAGTCACTTTGACAGCAGCTTTCCTTGCCTTTTGCGAAGGCATAGACGGAAGCAGCTTTCCTTGCCTTTTGCGAAGGCACAGACGGAGCTTAGCAAAAAGGGAGCCCTTTGATCCCTGCTTTTTCTACTTTGGGGTTAGAAAAGGGCGGGTCGTCTTATAAATGGAAAAAATGGCTTTTTCTACTTTGGGGTTAGAAAAGGGGCGGGTCGCCTTATAAGTGGAAAAAAATGGTACAGTGCTGCCTCGCTTAACAAGCGCACTGTTTAACAAAGAGTCCGCATAGTGACGTGTTTAGTGATCGCATTGCGACGTTTCGCTTACCGATCTTCGCATTGCGATGTTCTAAAAACAGCTGATCGGCGGTTCCGAAATGGCCGCCGGAAGAAAAAAATGGCCGCCCGCTCCATTTTTGTGCCCTGCCCTCACTTACCGGGCGGCGAAAATGGCGGCCGGATGGGGGAATCTTCACATAGCGGTGAGTTTTCGCCCCATAGGAACACATTAAACAGAAGTTAATGCGTTCCTATGGGTTCCCCCCCGCATAACGACGAATCTGATTAGTGACATTAATCCTGGAACGGATTAACGTTGCTATGCGGGGCACCACTGTACATCCAAAATTACAATTCCTGCTCATGCCCTTAATAATAATAATTGTGTGCCATCAAATCACTTCTGATTGATGGTGACTCTTTCCAGGGTTTTCCAGGTAGAGAACACTCAGAAGTGGTTTACTCTTCCCTGCTTCTGGAAGGGTATCCTGGGACTGTGCAGGCAGGATTTATTTGCAGGAGGCCCAATGGGGAATCAAACTTCCAACTTCTGTCTCCACAGCCAAGGACCTAATTCACTGAGCTGTCCAGCCAGCTGATGCCCTTAGGTGACATGCTCTGAAGTGGCATTCAAGTGAGCCTAAAGACCTATTCATTTACAGCTGCCTTGTTGCTGCATAACTGGTGTAGATCCCGAAAGAGTTACTTTTTGAGTTATAGTTCCCAGCATTCACCAGGGAGCATGGACAATGGCCATGCCACCTGGGGGATACTGGATGCTGTAGTCCAAAGGAAGTAACTTGCTCAAACTTTTATAGGATTCTACTGCAATTGTTTGTTTGATTTCCTTTTTTCTCAGTGTAAGAACAGTTTATGATTCTCACTTCTACAGTATTTTGTTTTGTCTTTTTGCTTATAGAAAGTTAAATTGCATTTTTAATTGTGTCATGCTGTAGTCCAAAGGAAGTAACTTGCTCAAACTTTTATAGGATTCTACTGCAATTGTTTGTTTGATTTCCTTTTTTCTCAGTGTAAGAACAGTTTATGATTCTCACTTCTATTTTGTTTTGTTTTTTTGCTTATAGAAAGTTACATTGCATTTTTAATTGTGTGTTTTAAAGTTTTGTACTTGCATTAATTTAGTATCATCCATTTGTACCTTGGAAGGGGTGGACTGTAAGGGGGTGGTGGTTTACTCTAAATGTTTCAAATAAATCAGCTAGGGGAGGTATACAGTCATGTCCTCCACAGCATCCAGCTGAGCTCACCTTCAGCTCTTGGATCCCTTCGTCATCCTCCAAGATTTCGCTGTGCTCAGTGTGGGAAGTAGCTGGAGACTCGCTGCTGGTGGCCTGGAGGCAGATGAAGGTTGGGAGGGGATACAGGTGAACATTGCACAGAAAATCCCCTCATCCCAACCATAGCTGGGAAAGTTTGGAATGACAACACCTAGAATCCTCAGCCAACGTGGCTACTGCCTGTGCTTGCTAGGGGATTCTGGGAGTGGTACTTAAAATGCTTCCCCCCCCCCAGGACTCTAACATTTCCAAACTTTGGTTTGAGCTAAAGTTCTCTCTGACCAGGTTAGAGGAGAGGACAGAGATGCACAGCCAGATCCTCTTTTGTCATTTGTTTAAATAGCTTTAAACTTTGTCTTTAAATGATGTAAGCCACCTTGGATCCTCTTTAAGGAGAAAGGCGGGGTAAAAATAACATGTATATACAAACAAATAAAGAAATCCTTTCCTTTCTAGTACTGAAATGTTGAGTGTCACCCTTATGCAAAAGGTGGATGATGGAGATCAGCAGGCTTGGGGAAATGGCAGCGTTTGGAGGAATAAACCAGCAACCAAACCAAACCAACCAAAAATGAAACAAAACAAAAACAATGTTTGAGTTAAAAATTGGAGGGGACCTCCCATACTATCCAATAACTGGTGAGTAGGAAGAAGAACTGGGAAGCAGGGGAATGCCACAGCAGGGGAGGGGTCAGTTTCCTGTTTTCCCCACCATGTAAAGTACTGCATGCACTTGCCTGCTTCAGGCCTTCTCTAACTGGGGCCCCAAAATTCAGATTGATTGAACTATGAATAGGCCAGAGAGAGTAACAGAGAAACTCCTATCATGTTAGAACTCTTACTGAGGGTGGATCATGCCCATCTAATGACTCTGATCAGTGTTAAGTTTCAAGATGGAAGGCGCTCCTCTTTCATAGCCTTCTCTAAAGTTGGGCCCTCTGCGTGTTTTGAACTACAACTCCCATGAATAGCCATAAGGCTGATGGGAGTTAAAGTCTAAAACATCTGGAGGGGATTGAGTCAGGGGACACTTACTGAGGGTGGATCATGCCATCTAACGACTCTGATCAGTGTTAGTTTTCAAGATGTTAGGAGCTCCTCTTTCACAGCCTTCTCTAAAGTTGGCTGATGGGAGTTGAAGTCTAAAACATCTGGAGGGGATTGAGTCAGGGGACACTTATTAAAATCAGTGACATTTGTTGTGGAGCATAGAGTAGCCATTAGATGCCTGTAGACAAAAATTCCTGAAGGATAACAATGGTGGTAATAGTCAAACAGAACTTCACGTTGGCAGGCAGCATTAACAACAGAGAAGTCCTCCTTCAAGTATTGATATGTCTGTAATGAAAATGACTATATCCACACATACGGGAGGGGGTTATCAGCAAGCTGGCTTGAGGAGGAAGCTCATGTTTGCAGGAACCAATGTCTTGGGAAAAGGGAGAATTGTGGATCATGGGGTGTGGCCTTCTGGGTGTTGAAATCCAAAACATCTGGAAGGCTGAAGGTTCCTCACCCCTAGCAGAAGGGGAGCCTAAGCAGGATGCTTCCAAGGTATGGGGTGTGCAGCTCTGGGCTGAGATCACAACAAACTGAGTTGGGGAGCCTACTCACCATAGGCTCCTTGGCTTCATCTTCCGTCTCACTCGGCCTGCTGGGGCTACTCTCGCTCGTTGTGATCTGGACCAGGATGTCAGCCTTAGAGAGCTGTGTCCCCCGCTTGGCTGCAGGAGGGAGAGACAGACAGATACAGGCATTGCACGGTGGTCCCTGTTGCTTATAATTCCACATGCAGGGATGAACGACAGGCCTTTCTTGGATGACCCCGAACCTGGAGACCAATGGCTTTTGGTTGAATGTAGACACAAAGGCACAAAATTCCCACTTCTCTGTGTTCTCATATATCCTGAATCGAAGCTTGGAAGTCCATAGTTGCTTTGCTTACCACTAGAGATGGGCATGAACCACCAGTTCTGAGTGGGCATCCACTGGAAGAAGTGGGACTGGGAAGCGCCAAACATGTGTTCGGATGAAAAGCCAACTGGCACCAACGGCCGAACTGGCAGCTGGTGCCCATCTCTAGTCTAAGCAAAGCAACTGCAGACTTTTTAAGTTAAGAGAGACCTTGGCCATTGAGAAACAAAATGTAGGGAGAGAGAGAGAGAGAGAGCCAACATTAAGAGAGCCAAGCTCAATTAATTCTACTTCAGCTCCTATTTTTTCTCTTAATTGCATTAAAGCAATTAAAGCCTATAGCATCTAACTACTGAGCCACAGGATCAAACTGCACAGGCCAATGGGAATCTGGCCCCTTCGGCCAACCGGAATGATGATGGAGGACTACAGTAACAGTGGATTGGGTGACAGGGAAAGCCAGAGGCCTACATTGGTAGGGAAGGCAGCCTTAAACCATGGAAACGACAGCCAGAGAGAAACATGCTTGTTAACGGACAACCTGCCTACCTCTGGCCTCAAGCCAACCCTCAATGTGAAATCTTTTCAAAACAGAGCGGTGGTAGGGAGAGAACCTGGACACCTTCTGCCTGTGCCTAAAAGCGCGCTGTATCCCTGCGCTGCCTGTCTTCTCGCCCGCCAGCAAAGGCAGAAGAACGCCTGCCGGGACTTGACCTCGACTCTGCAGCCTTGCTCTCTCCTCCTCGCTGTGCCGTTCCGGAGAGCGAGCGCAAGGCTGGGCTGCTTTCAAATCCAAGGCACGCGCTTCCCTGCCATTGCAGAGTTGCTAGCTCCGTTTAGCCCTCCAGGTGCTTTGCTAATAGAGAAGAGGCTGCCAAGCGGAGGGAGTGGAAGCAATGGGGGTGGGGGGGAAGGGGGGGCTCACCTTTCCGGCAGTGCTTGCGCCGGTAGCAGAGAGAGGCGAAGACCACTAGAATCAAGACAGCGGCAACCCCGGAGGCTGACATGGCTCCCAAGATCAGGACGGACCAGACTTCTGTAGGGAGAGTTCATTGATGGATTATTTTCATTTTATGTTACCTGCTTATAGCTGCAAGCCCCCTGTTCTCCCTCCCAGCATTCAGGGCCACTGGAGAGGATTTTATTCCGTTTTATTGTTACAAGAGCCCCACAGGGTCAGTGACACAGAGAGATTGTGATCTGCCTAAGTGAGCTTTATGGCTAGGGAGAGATCTGAACCCCAGCCCACTTCGACACTGGTATGTGTGTATGGAGCGATTTCAAAAATCAACCTACTTGATTTTGCAAAAGCTGTTTTTTTGTTTTTTTGGATGGACCTTGGAGGGATTCTGGGAGTAAAGTTTATAGTGTCTTTCATGTGTATGCTGCTCTAGACAGACTGAAAGGTCTGTCATTTCTCCCCAAAAGAGGTTTGCAATTACATAACACCCAACAGACGAAGCAAAGGTAAATGGAGGTGGGATAGAAACGGGAGAAATATGACTATTTCAGTGTGAGCTTCTGTGGATTGCAATCCATTTCCTCAGGCAGGCTATTAATCCATGAAAGCTCACAATGAAATAAACTGGTTCACTTCTTCAGTGCAACAGTGCTTTCTTTTTTATTTTTATCGAACGGTCGCTGTTATTTTATAGGCTGAAATAGACTGACACAGCTCCCTCCTTTTAAATTTCTCCAATCTGGTGCCCTCCTAATGTATGGGACTCTAGTTACCATCATCCCCAACTATGCTGGCAGGGGATTATGGCAGGTGTAATCTAACACATCTGGAGGACACCAGGGTGGTAAAGGCTAGCCTTAAAGGAAGCACACAGGAGCATAAGCAGCTGTCTTTTGCTGAGTCAGGCCGTTTGTCTCTCCATCCCAGAACTGACAGGAGTGTCTCTCAGCAGCTACCCAGCATTTCATGGAAGATTCTTTCTTATCTCTACCTGGCAATGCTTAAGATTGACTCTGGAACCATCTACAGTGGTGCCCCGCATAGCAACGATAATCCGTGCAGCAAAAATCGTCGCTATATGGATTCGTCGCTATGCGAAAATAAAAAGCCCATAGGAATGCATTAAAACCCATTTAATGCGTTCCTATGGGCAAAAAACTCACCTTTAAGCGAAAATCCTCCATATGGCGGCCATTTTCGCTGCCCGGTAAGCTAGGAATCCGGACGAAAACACAGCGGGCGGGCATTTTTTTTTACCCAGGGGCCAATTTGGAATCGCTGATCAGCTGTTGGGAAATCATCGTTATGCGAAAATCAGTAAGCGAAACAGCTTACCGATCATTGCAAAGCGATTTTTTCCCATTAGAAATATCGCAATGCGATCGCAAAAACTTAATCGCTATGCGGATTCGTCGTTAAATGGGGCGCCCGTTAAGCGAGGCACCACTGTATATACAAAGCAGGACTTCTACCACTGAGCTGTAACCACTTGTTAACATGATGGCTAATAATTCTTGGTGATCTTCCATCCAAATACTGGACACCAATCCTCCTTCCTTCCAAAATCAGACAAGATCAGGCCCTGATTGGGGGTGACTGGATGCTGGTTCATCTCAAAGGGTTTTCTACCCAAAGGAGCTTAGGAGCCTCACCTTGGCGGCGCAAACTAACTGCGGCAGACCGAGAGCCAAAACGGTTCCACGCTGTGCAGTTGTAGGGCACAGCAAAGTCGGTATCGTGGGTCGGGTCGATGAGCAAGGCCGAAAGCACCCCTTGATCGGTCGCCACGGTGTCCACTGAGAAGCGATCAAGCGAGCCGGCGTCCAGCACCCGTTCCCCCCATGCCCATGCCTGTTCCAAGAGGAAGAGAGAGGGAATCAAGATCACAGGCAGATGGGAGACGCCTGGCGGGCAAACAGCATCGAGCCGAGCGCATGTACGACAGCTGCTGCATGGAGGAGGCACCTTTGAAAAAACAGCCGCCCATGTGATTGTTGCCACCACGTGGCTGGCTGCTTCTGTGCAGGAATCTGCTATACAAAAATCTGCTTCTTTTCTCTGTACTCTCGCAGATATTTTGTGCCTGTTTTGCAGGCCGAATGCAGGGGAAAGGGGTGGGGGGAGAAAAGAAAAGGAAAACCATCAAATCTGCCAAGTCAGCTGCGGCCCACAAATAGCTCACCAGATGTTAATGGGCATCTCAGGGTGTGATGGAAAGCTGCAAGTTATGCACTGATCCTTCCCCGAGTGCTCTGACACGGCAAGAGCAAAGTCAGCAGGCTTTGCTGTTTCATTGCCTCTCTGTGCCTGCTGTTTTCATCACTGTCTCACAAGTCTTACATCCAAGAAGGGGGGTGGGCGGGTGGGCAGGAAGCTGCTGTGCAAACATGGTATTTGAAATGTGGGGCTATGTTTGTGATACCCATAGGGTGTTGAGTCAGATTTGGAGTGATGGTATGGATGGGGAAATTTCACTCTCCCGCCTTTCTGGACTGCACTGTTTTCTCAGGGCTAAACTAGCATGCTGCACAAAATATGTAGCATCTACTGAGCCTCCGTTTGTCCCCCCCCCTTTCCTCCAAAGTAATCACTGCAGGCTTGATCCAGACTGGGACCTCCATGTGCTAGGAAGAAGAGGCTTAAACTTTCCCTTCAGAGCTTCTAATCCCCTCTATAGAAAGTGGAAGAGGAAGGATCCCACTGTGTATCTTTTTAGCTCTAAGACCAGGAAGGGTCGGATTTAAGAGGGAAAACAGCTGGTGAGGATGGTTTATGCACCCAGACGCAGTGATCCAGATCCAGATCAGGCCCGTGCACACTTGCTTTAGTTACAAAGAATAATGAGGCTAATTAAGTTGAAGCAAGAAAATTACACTGAGTAGCCTGTTTGAATTTCAGGCACGCAGAACGTCGATCATGGAAGCACCTGTAGTTAACTGGCGAGGAGCCCGTTGTGTGACCAGGCAGGCACCCAGCATCACGTCGGATACCTGCCTCCATGACTGCTGTTTTGCACTTGGTGATTCAAACAGGATACTGGCTATAATCTTTAAGAAAGAAATTTATGTTTTTCACATCGCGTGTTTAGGCGTAAGCTGAATGCTGCAGTCATCTGCTGGAGCTTGTTGCCAGAAAGGTACCTTGGCCCCTCTATGCTTTGATCCATGGTTCATGCATTCCCCGCCCCCAAGGGGAGTGGTGATCTCAACCACTCAAAGTGCGAAGTGCATGGCCCTCTAAAGCCCTGTAAACCTCATCCATGGTGGGATGTATTTATCATTTGGAAACCCAGAAGGGTGTCAAGATCTTCTTATCTCATCCAATTTGTTAGGGAGAAATTTCAGCCAAGAAGGCTGCGTTCTCTGCTGGACCTCTCAGTGGCTTTTGGTACCATCAACCATGGTATCACAATCCAGTCCCTTGCTCAAAATTATGCCCAGAATGTTCAAAATTATGCTCAGCAGCCGTAAACGCCAAAGTTGCTACATTTGGGATATCCGTAAGCCAGTCTCTCACCTCACGTTAGCACCCTCTGGCTGCGTTGGACTACAGCGCCCACCATCCACAACTAACATAATGGGAATTGTATTCTATCACATCTGGAGAGGGCTAGGGTTAGGGAAGGTGGTGATGAGCAGACCTGGTCACCTCCTTCCTTAAAACGGGATTGGACAGATTCCTGGCCATCACTGTATGAAGCCTCCAGCATCACATGCACCAGATGGAGAAAACAATGAAAACCAGCTCTGGGGTGTAAACAGTAGCAGGAAGCCTACTGCACTGGACTACTTGGTCGACGACTATATTTAGCTTTCTCTGCAGTAATTTGGTATCCTTTTATTAGGATTATTTCGTTATTGCACCTGATGAAGTGCAGTCAAGAAAAGCTTGTGTCAGATAAAATTTCCTCATCTATAAGATGTTTTCCTGTTTTTTCTGCAACAAACCAACACTATTACTTGTGCCTCCTATGTCATTTATACAATTACAGCTGGAATCCTGTTACACTTGGTGCAGTGCAAAGTTATGCCTACGGAGGATCCTGGTGAGCTACACCCCGGGAGTCCATGAATCTACTGGCAGATTTAGTTGCACAACCAATTGACAACTCATTGCCCACAGTTGTGTCCATGGAACTGCTTCTTGGACGTGACTTCCACCTTGGTGTAAATTTAGCAACTTCAAGTTATGTGGGCGTAGCTACGCAACAGTATTTTGGCCATTCTGTACGTCTTAAGGACTAGAAACTTGCATATTTTTCACTGGAACCTGAGTTTTTCCAGGATTTTGAATTCTATATCTGATGCCATTTCCAAGCTTGCTTGGTACAATTGTGGAATCCACTCAAGCCTCATAAAAACAAGAAAAGACCTGGGGTGAGAGGATAAAACCCAACAGGATGGCAGAAGGAAGCACTTACGATTCTGTCCGGGGGTGGAGCGCTCCCCACCAAGCACTCCAGCCGTGCCTTGGCCCCTACGGTGGTCTCCTGGCTTGGGCCTGCACTGATAATGGGGGGACCTGGAAATGAGAATGCAGTTAAAGTGGTGTCAACGTTAAGGGAGAAAACAGGAGGAACCTCGCTTTTTCGTCATCTCTGTAGCCCTGCTCAGCTATTCTATTAGCAGGCTAAGAGTGGGGTCCAAATTTAGTTGAACAAGGACAGTGTCCAGGCTTATGGATTTCATTAAAAGTCTTTTAGCTTCTCCCTCTTTGTAATTCATGCCGGAGTTGCAAAATATATATATTTTTTACAGTACAACTCCCACAGTTCGAGTGCCCAAATCACTCCTGGGTGATTCTGGGTCTTGTATTTCAAAAACCTGAATGTTCCCTACTGCTGATCCATGTACAGCAGTAGTTCTTAATCTTGGATGAAAACTCCCACAAGCCTTCACCACTAGCTGTACTGACCAGGATTTCTGGGAGTTGTAGTCCAGGAACATCTGGGGAGCCAAGGCTGGGAACCATTGATGAACAACATAGGGGTCAGTTTGTTTTGACTGCCCTGTTACCTAGTCCCTGTACGTTCTCCTTGGTCCCTTACCATTCACAGCCAGTGCCACCTCCTTTTCGGCGACTCCAATACGTGGCACAATGGCTTTGCATACATAAATGCCTGCGTCCTCCTGCGTCACGGCTTTGAGATGGAGAGTATTGCCATTGCTCAGGACCTGTGGGGACAAATTGGCTGGATTGTACCTCAAAACAGACGGGTTTCCTCTGCTAGAGTTAGTTCCTCCACAAGCGAGGAATGGGGGTAGAGGATCATGGCACAGAATCTGTAAAGGTTCCCTATACCCCATCAGTATAACTAAGTTGTACTGTACTCCTAGATTATTACTCTTTTGGGTATTCCAGCTCTGCAAGTCCCAAACAGATCAGGTTTGAGAATACGGACTGCTGGTGTAAACTGCTAATGCAACAGATCCCTTTTAACAACAACAACAATCTTATAACTGCAGGGCTGGAAGGGACCCTATGGATCAAGTCTAGACCCTATCCAAGAGGCATAGTGAGTCAATGAATTCCCAACCTCTGGTTCCACAGCCACTGAGCTATCCAGGGTTCTTCCAAATAGAGCAAAAATGTCACATCCTTCGCTTAGCTGCTAAATGGGAGCAAGATTTATTAGGATTTAGGTCCAAATTTCCTTCTAAGAAGCCACTTTTTCCCCTGTATGAAACTTTTAAGAAATACATATAAAACATCACTTTTAAGAAATCCACTTCCCTGCTGGAGCTTCTCTTCTGGAGTTCTGTTTTTTTGCTATAATTTGTCCCTAAATTAAAAGCTTCTGACCAGGAGGCTGTGACCGCAAACATGAACTTTAATGGGAAGCACCATAGCACTAAAATCTGCCCAACCCCCTGGGAGCAAACTGAGACTAAAAATAAAGCTATGCTTTCAAGAAGGACAAAAAGGCATGGGAAGTCACTAAAGAAAGCCACTGTACTAAGTGAGACGTCAGGTATGTTGCACGGTTTGGAGGGAATAGTGACAAATCAGTGTAAAATCTGTTGTGCTAAGGAGAACCAATGCTCCATCTGAAGAACTCTGACATTGTTTATTGCAGATGTTGGGAAAGTTGCTTTTTCTATTACAACTCCCAGACTGGCCCAGTCGGCATAACTGGGGCAGCCGGTGGCCGTTCTAGCTAGAGGGTGGGTGGCCTCTAGGAGTTGTCATCCACATATTTGACTCTCCCAAGTGCTGCGTTTACTGTTTATTCGTGAGGGTTGTTGAAATGAAAGGCTTCGTCACTCACCACACTAGAACCCTTCTTAGTCCAGGCCAAGGTGAGAGGCGGGTTCCCTGTCCAGGTACAGGTGAAAGAAGCGTCGGCCCCAATGTCTACGGTCAGGGGCTTGGGCTGAGAGACAAGGCGGGGACCGACTGCAGAAAGAAGACAGAAAGGGGTGATTTCCTGAAAGGAGGAACTAAGAGACTAATCTACAAATCTAGAAGGCCCTCTCCCACCTCTGCCCTGAGGGTACAGAAAGCCACAATCTCTCAGCCTCAGTCCTCCCCATCTGTAAGATGGGGTTTATTATTTATTTATTTAACTTATATGCCACCCACTCTACCCAAAGGTCTCTGGGCAGCTTACAACAATTAAAATTCGATTAAAATACAACAAAAGATTACTTTTAATCTTTTAATAGTCATCTTCCTCATCAGGACATTGCAAGCATTACAGAAAGAATCTGCTTTGAACACAATGGTATAAATTAGGGACAGGATGAGAACTCAATGCCAGGATGCTGAGTTACATGTGAGGAGTAAAACTGAGGTAGGAGCAGGCCACTTTGAGCTGTTCTGCTAACGGTTGAGAGGCCAGATCTGCCTGGCATTGCCCCCCCCCCCCAGGATGCTAGGCAAGTGGTCTTCCCCTTACATTTTTCTCTTAAATGCGGGGAACCTCTTCTGGCTGGAGGACTAAAATAAATTTCAGAGAATTTCTTCTCTTAAATGCGGGGAACCTCTTCTAGCTGGAGGACTGAAATAAATTTCAGAGAATTCCAAGTGCAAAAACATGGGATCAGACATACCAGCAATTTTTAGCTTAAAGCTCTTATTGCCAGTAACTAAGGATAAGCATTTCAACCTTTCATAACCACAAGTGTAGTGAAACTAGGTCTCATGGGGTGATCCCTGGGTCTTTCTGAGTAGCAAGGGCTGTGACATCGTCCATGACACACCTTGGGCCTCCATGTTCTCTCTGAGCTTAAGTGCAACTTCTACTGTAGGAGGAAAATTGATTTTCCCAGGAATGGTATACTGCTGCAAACTATCTTTGCTGTATTGCAGAGTATTTGAAGATAGTTGAATTGGACGATAAAGAGGCGTTAGCTCTACAAAAGACCTGTTCCTTACTTGTTAATGTGGACTGATACAGTTCCCTGCATTTTTGGTCTTTCCTGAGAGAGGGCCTGTCTATAACAATTGTCATGATGAGCACTTGTACTTTCAAATTGACCACTACACCAGTTTAAAAATGAGGAAAACCCCACCCCATCTATATAAAATGTGGCATGTTGTTTAGTCGTTTAGTCATGTCCGACTCTTCGTGACCCCATGGACCAGAGCACACCAGGCCCTCCTGTCTTCCACTGCCTCTTGGAGTTGGGTCAAATTCATGTTGGTAGCAAAAATGTGGCATATCATCAAGCAATTGTGTTGTGCAGAAAGATACCGCTATCCAGGGAGCCCAAAGTTTCAGATTTGAGGTTCACAAGGGCTGGATTTCACCCCCTGAGTAGGAAGCACTTTTATGTGGAGGTGCTGGTGAATGAAGTGAGGCCCTTCTTCACACAAAGCCTATCCTTTAATTTCAAGATACTGGACCAACTTTTTTTTTTTTTACTCACAGTGCACATCCACCAGTGTGCTGACGTTGGTGCTTCCCACAGCATTTGACACCTCGCATGACACAGGCTCAGTGAAGAAGGACTGATCCACCACTGCCTCGTAGCTGTCACCGTTAGCCTCTGGAATGGGTACGCCTCCTTTTGCCCACCTATGAAAAAGCGTATGTGGTCTTAAGAGTGTCTGAGTCAAGGAACATACAATGAAAAAAAGTGCCACTATGTGGAATTTCTCCTGTGCGAGAGGCTTTTCAGTTTAGGAGGAGAAAAAAAGGCTATAAAGTGGGTTGGGTCTGGTTTTCAATGCATTCCTATGGGAAATGCAGATTTGACCTGAGAACTTTTTGACTTGAGAACCGCCTTCCAATACGGATTAAGTTCTCAAGTCAAGACCCCACTGTATGTGGAATTTCTCTTGTGTGAGAGGCTTTTCCATTTAGGAGAAAAAAAGGCTACAAAGCGGGTTGGGTTTCTGGGAGATAATGGACGATTATAAAATTATCTCTATGACAGAGGCTAAAAAGAAGCTGTTCTTTCTCCCTCAGTTTCAACCTTTGCTCTCTGTTCCTCCCTTCTTCCCTCTGTCCACCTCAATCGATAAAACTAGAACTAGGAATCATCTGGTGAAATAGTGACATAGTGCACAGTTCAGTTACACATTGCATTTTCCTAAGAGTTGTTCATGGCCACCAACAACAGCTAGGAAAATTTACTTTTTATTCTGGACTCCAATGCCCAGCGAACATGGCAAGCAGGTAAAGTGGCTAAAGAGTCTTAAGGTCTGTAGTCCAGGAAAGGAATATCCCCCCAGCCTCTGGCACCAACTTAGTGGGTCTTAAAAGCAGATCAGAAACATTTATGAGAACCAGCCCACCAGCGGCTACTAGTTACGATGGCCACATGGCACAGCCAGCATCAGAAGCTGCCGGCTGTAGCGGGCGATTGATTCCAGGTCTTTCTCCTGGCCTTCCCACAGGAATTTGGCTGCCTCTTGTGGGAAATGGAAAGCTGGACTTGAGGGGCCTTTGGTCTGATCAGGCCTCGCTTTTAATGTCCTTGTGAATCATGGGAAGGATGAGGAGAGGAGAGCAACGCCAGTGGGCAATCATGCCTGATGCTGCCGCCTTCTGCTCCCACCAGGCATCTCTGGGCATGCAATCTTCAATGCTGCCATCAGAGGGCATTCCAGATACACACGTAGTTTCTCCTGCCTGATTTCCCCCGAAGAGCTCAGATCCATCGTTCTTGCTCTTACCTGTAACCTGTTACTTCAGGGTTGGAGGTGGCTGTGCAAAGGAAACTCACTTTGCCACCTTCGGGCACTGTTTGTGGCTGCACAGACAGGATTACAACCGGTGGGTCTGCAAGACAGAGGACAGCAATGGGCAAAAATCCTACAAGGTTCTGTCCTTATTGTAGACATTTCAGTGGACCCAGTGGAGGCATGATTATCTTCTTTCGGAAACCCAATCCTTCATACATTCAAGCACCCCCTTGAAACCTCTTTCCCAGAGCAGGAGATGCTACCCCCCCATTAGCATTTGTCACAGCTGCTGTCTGCCCAGGCTGCATTGATTTGGATCATTAGGTGTCTACCCCTGCATCTTCCTGGATCCCTCGCTAACTAACCCTGTGTTGCCAGTTCTGCCTCTGTAGAGTCAACCGGGCTTTTGATGCTGCAGATGGGTTAGGGTGCTAGTTACACTCCATAGGTCTCTCTGGGTTTCCTCTCCTTCCTTAACAAGACCAGGTGCTGAACGTTCAGGAGCCCTTAGCCGAAGTACCCCACAGAGACCAATGCTGCTGTGGCACAAAGCTTTTCTGTCTATTTAAACCTCTGATAACACCCCTCTTCTAAAGCTGTAATTATAATTCTGCTGCTCTAGCACTGAAGTTAGCTCCTGTCCTAGCTGGGGCCTGAAAAAGCTACCCTTTCCATGGCCTTGCAAGAGGGAGGGTTTTGGCATTTGCTGTCCAAAAATGTAAATTTTCCAAGCCCAGGCTTGTCCCTACCTGTATGCAATAGCAAATGACAAACTGACAGCTGTGAAACAACAGCACAATTCATACAGCCAGATATAATATTTGGCATTCACTCTTCACCCTCAATAAGCTGCTAACTGGGTAAATGTGGCCCAGTCCAACTGTCCTGGTCTAACCCACCTAGCAGGGTTGTTGTGAGAAGAGAGCGACGACTCCCTTTTCATTCATATATGAATGGGGATTATCCTCACACCAACATTTAAAAAGCTATTATCTCCCCTTTCCAAAGCCGAGGAGCACAGCTGTTCTCCTCTCGATCCAAAGCCTGTTCTGCAAAGACTGTTTCCACGTGCCGAAAAGCCGGCCACCGTCTCTGCCAAGCCCATTCCCTTGGCAGCTGCACCAGCTGGTCCTTCTGCCACTCACACTGCACATTGAGAGTGACGGTGGTTTGCTTGCCAGCCGGGGCCGCTGGGTTGCTGACTCGGCAGGTGAAGGAGCTCCCCATGTCCCGGCTGCTGGGAGTCAAGAGGAGGGTGCTGACGGCCACCTCGCGCTTGCCATCATCCATCAGAGCCTGCAGGGGAGAAAGGAGAAGCGTCCCTGTGCTAAATTCAGGAAGTAGGAATCACAGGTTTGGAAGCTGTCCCTCCGAAGGGCTCGATACAGCCTTCTGGACTTTCCCAGACAGGGGTGGGAGGAGGACCGACTCAGTTCCTTGCACCTCGCTTTAAAATAACTGCAGATCCTGCAGCAATCGGACCCTTTAGGGCTCATTGAAGGGCCACGCCCTTCCTCCTGGCATGATTGTTCGGTGGCTTCCCAGCTTTTGTGGGGGTTTCCCACATTATAAAGTTGCCTCTCTCAAAACTGCAGGTAAGTAAGGTAACTGTAAGACCTCTAAGCTGCAACATGCTGGTGCTTTTGATCTTGTCCTTTTCTTCCTCCTCTGACACTACTGGGTGCACCTCACACTCAAGACATTCTCTGACATGAAATCCGGCCATCAGGCTAAAAGAATTTTCCCACGCCTGCTTTAATATTTTCTTGGAAGATTACCCTCTTGAGGTCATCTTTTTCCCACTCTTTTGTCTCACCGGCATTCAGGAGCTGTTCTTAAGTTGGATTGTTCTTAAGTAGAGACGTTCTTAAGTAGAGACCCCACTGTAACTGTAAGACCTCTAAGCTGCAACACGCTGGTGCTTTTGATCTTGTACTTTTCTTCCTCCTCTGACACAGCTGGGTGCACCTCACACTCAAGACGTTCTCTGACATGAAATGCGGCCATCAGGCTGAAAGAATTTTCTGATGCCTGCTTTAATATTTTCTTGGAAGATTACCCTCTTGAGGTCATCTTTTCCCCACTCTTTTGTCTCACCGGCATTCATTTTCTCTGACCAGAGGTGCAATCCTCACAACAGCTGAGGAGAAGGGGGTGGTGGAATGCATGTTCTACAGAACAATACATTGTTATGATTTATCTCGGTGTCAGTGCAAAATATTTAGAGGTGGCTTGGTATTGAATGGGCAATCCACACCTCTTGGCTTTGCAAAAGACCGTCCCAGGTGGAGAAGAAAGTTGTTAAGAACCGATTTGCCAAAGTGAGTGCATTCAGATGGCCACAGTTTTGGACTTTCCTTGTGGATGTTGCTATTACAACAGAGAGATTTCACAACAATATAGCTGGGAAGGTTCTCAGTCATCCAAGTGAGGTTATCTGGAAGCTGAATCATGGCAACGGGGCTTCTTCCTTGTTAGACGGAAACATTTCGCTACTCATCCAAGTAGCTTCTTCAGGAAATGTTTCAACTTAATAAGGAAGAAATCCAGTTGCCATGATCCAAACTCACAACAATATGTTCTTGCTGGCTAAACCCTTTTTATCTCCAGCTAGCCTAAGAACTGTGGCTAAGCACAGAGACAACATGGAAGCCTGGAGGGTGTCTCAGAACATATTCTTGTCCCTGTTAGTCAAACAGCCCTGAAGTTTTGACTCTGCAAGCCCTGGCACCATTACACCACCACATCATTGTCTACTGTAAAAATCAAGCATGGGTACCCAGCTGACTGCAAGCTAACAAACCCTTACCTTGGAGTATACGGCAGCATCTTGTCGTTGCCCATCACAGTACCAGGTGATCTCAGCAGCTGGCTTAGCACCGGCAGCGCGACATGTCAGGTTGTAGGGAATGTTGGAAATCACGTGCACAACTGGACCATTTTGGATTTCTGGGTCATTGGGAGGGACTGCAACGAGATGCAGATGGAAGAGGATAGGAGTGTGATCTGGAAGCGTGCATTCTTGTGAATAAGCAAGTAGTTATGGGGAAAAAATATTCAGAACCCCAATGGCCAAGCAGAACTGCAAAAGTGATGTTTCCTTTGAGCCAGGTTACATAGAAAGAGAGACCGGTCAGCCACCATTGCAGGTCTTCTGGATGGACCCATCCTTCAAGGGGCACACCTCAAAATCAGGTTCAACTACAGATGGGTCTTCTGCTTGGTGCCGTAAGTCCGAGTGGGGAACATGTGGTTCTCCAGGTGATGCTGGACTACAACTCCCACCAATCCTAGCAAGCATAGCCAGTGACAAGGGATGTTGGGAGATGCAGTTTAATAATGCCTTGAGCATGACATATTCCCCCCCACCCCACCCGTTAGAAGGTGAAGTAAAAGTGCCTGCGGAGGAAGCAACACGGCCAACTGTGTGTATAAAACAGAGAGAAAGTCTGAGAAGTCAAAGGCAGTGAGAAAAAGGGAAGGTGGCCTGTCACCCACTGCTTCACTCTTGGTCCACTCTTATTTCTTAAGTGCTAAAACAGTGGGACACTTAATCAATAAGGAACACACACCAGCCTCTCTGCCAGTTTATACGTAATCCAATCTGTTTTCTCAGTAGAATGAGAGAGACAGAGAGAGCCACGGACAGAGCAACAGCCTAGAACTAGGTGCTATGGCAGCTGTGATGGGACTTCCAGTTTCCAGAAGCACCAGCCAGCATGAACAGTTGTCAGGGGTTCTACCAGTATTAGCTGAATGACACCTGGAGATGCAAGAGTAGAAGTTACTGTGCTACTACAACATAAGCAGAAAATACCCTCAGCGTTGAGCTCCTTCCCCTTTTCTCTTAATACCCGCTGAATCACTGAATGCCAGATCAGTTCACATTCTTATCCATATTGTTCCTCTGTGGTTCCCAACCTTGTGTGGTCAGATGTTCTTGGACTAGACCTCCCAGAAAGCCTGGCCAGCAAAGCTAGCAGTGAAGGCTTCTAGGAGTTTTAGTTTAAGAATATCTGGGGACTCAAGATTGTGTACCGCTTTCTCTCTGAGTCCACTCATCACCTGAATAAAAGAGTAACCCTGTTTTGCTCAAAGTATTGGTTATGCTGCATAGCTGGGGTTCAGAATGTATGGCCTGACAAGGAGAATGTTCATATTCCCAGGAGTCAACAGAAAAAAATGGCATGAACCAGTTGCGTTCTGAATCTTCCAAGGTCCCATATGATAGGCTTTCAGAACAATTTCCCCCCCAACCAAACTCAGTCTACATGGCCAAGATACTTTCATGGATTAGTGAAAAAACCAGCAAGGCTTGCCATCTTTTGATCCCAGAGCAAGATCTGGAGGAAGAAATTTTGATGTCTAGCTCAGTGGTATAGGTCTCTGAAGTTGGGAGCCAGAAGTTGGGAGTTCAATTCCCCAGTGTGCCTCCTATGAAGTAGAGTCACCCTGCGTGGCTTTGGGCAAGCTCCACAGTCCAAGAACACCACTAGAGGAAGGAAATGGTAAAGCACTTCTGAGTTTTCTCAATCTGGAAAACCCTGAAAAGGACCACCATAAGTTAGTCTGTCTGTCTGTCTGTCTGTCTGTCTGTCTGTCTGTCTGTCCGTCCGTCCGTCTGTCCACTTACTCATTCATTCATTCATTCATTCATTCATTCATTCATTCATTCATTCATTCATTCATTCATTCATTCATTCAGTCTTTCTCCCTAAAAAGGACTGAAGGTGGCTTACATAATTAAAAGACCTTTTTTGAAATCTGAAAACAGTAAGTATACAAACACTTAGAAGAATCAAACAAATACCTCTAAGAAATGGTAAACAAAAGCAACACTTGACATCACATGATTATGATGATCATCATTTCATCATCCCTTGCCTTCTCTGAACATCCATTTTGGGTGAAGGGAAAAATAAAAAGAAGAATGGCTCTTGGACTGCTCTGAGTCTGGGCACCTCTTGCAAGGGATGGGGGTCGTCTCAAGGAGGAAAGGAGAAAATAAGGGCACTCACTGAGCACGGTAAGCTTGGCCCGCTGGGATCTCAGCGCAGCCTGCGTGGCCTGACATTCGTAGACAGCGTCATCGTCCAGCTCGGCATAGTCAATCCTCAAGTTGTGTTGCCCAGCAGAGGCATCGCCAACGATCGAGTAGCGGGACCAGCCTGTGATGAGGAGGAAAGGAGGTACAACTTAGGGTACAGTTCTAGAAGTAACATGCTCTATTTAATGTCATTACGTGAAACAAGTTCCCTTTGGGTAATGAGGGTGTAATGGCTAATCATGCTGTTATCTCTCTCTTAGTGCAACAAATACAGGCCTAGAATCCTATTGGGTAGTTATGCCAACATAAGCACAGTGGCGTAATCTGCTTTGGGGGAATTGTCACTTGCTAGTGGAAGGCTGGATAGCTCAGTGAATTAGGAGTCTGGCTTCAGGGCCAGAAATTGAGGGTTCGATTCCTCACTGTGCCGTCGGGGAGAAAGGCGCGTCTGTGTGGCCTTGGGAAAACTGCACAGTCCCAGGATGCCCTCAGAAGGAAGGAATGGTAAACCACTTCTCAGTACTTTCTGTCTGGAAAACTCTGGAAAGGGTTGGCATAAATTAGATGCCACATGATTGTTGTTATTAGTGGAAGATCAGCCTTTCTGTCAATGATTCTGCCAGTCTATCTTCTACAAACCACATCCCATGACCCCAACTTGCCACAGTACTGTACCAGGTAGGTCTCTTTCTCCTCCTAAAGCCAGACCATCTTTGGTCCACTGAACCATGCCACGATAGCCCATAACCACACAGGCCAGAGTCACAGATTGTCCAGAAACGATCACTTGGTCCATTGGCTGTTGGAAGAAATACGCTGCCAGCCCTGAAGAGAGAAAACACACAGAAACACTGAGACAATTAGATATCTGGGGTCATAATGGGCATCTGAACGTAGTTTCAGGTCATACAAGGAATGGAAAAAAAGACATGTTTAAAACAAGACTTGGGACATAAATCCTTCCTTGTCTCATTCTTTCCCACAAGAATGAGAGAGGTCATCCCCCCACTTCCTCATCTTCAAGAAGGCAATAAATTCTTTCCTGCTCTTGACAAGAGTTTTTTTTTTACATTTGCAAAGTTGATTTTTGTTGAAAGCTCTTTTGCTGCAAGGACTTAAAAATCAGGAGCACTGAATGGGTAGCTTGTGTCTTTCTGAACAATCCGCCAACCCTTCTGAGATTGCTCACTCTGTGTTTGTGTAGTGTGTGTGTGTGTGTGTGTGTGTGTGTGTGTGTGTGCGTGCGTGTGCGTGTGTGTGTGTGTGTGTGAGAGAGAGAGAGAGTGTACAGGTCAAGACAGTTGACAATGGGAAATTTAGCAAGAATTCTTCACATTTTTTACTTAACACTGATGATCGACCTTAATCACAGCCTATTAACAGCATGTGGCCCCATTGCTTGTTTGCCTCATTCTTGCCGTCCCAACTAAAAATAAAGAATTAAATAAAATCTGTGCTCTGGGAAATGTTCAGGAGCAGCTTTCTTCCACTAAAGAAAACATACACAATTTCTTTAATGAGACAATGATTTCTTTCTTTTTATTTTTTAAAAAATCTGGAATTGAAGATCCAGTTATGTCTGTGTTTTATTTTTATTTTTAATTCAGAAGATGTGCCACTTGAGGCAGTTTCTGGAAGGGTAAAACTATCCCTTTTACCTGAAGTTGTCCATCTCTGGTGTAAATCAACCCTGGTATCTATGAAAGAGCACACAAAGTGTACGGAAGTAACAAGTCTGTCTTTATTTTATCCCAGTACTTCACATTCAAAGATAGACTGTACTACTCCTAAACATATAGGCTCCAGTTTACTTTTGTGGCTAAAAGACACTCCATGTATTTGTAGTTAGTGTGCTATTTAATATGGGGTAGTGTTCTAAAATATTATACTCTATACTCTATTAATCAGCTCACTGCTTTTAAAAACACTGCTTTAAAAAGCCTTGCAGAGGAACTGCCAGCTAGTGTAACAGATGAGGAGGGGGACCCTTCTGGCCCTCCAGGTATTTTGGATTACAACTCCCATAATCCCCTACCATTGCTCCCGCAGGGTAAGGCTGCTGGGAAATCTAGGCTAAAAAATCTGGAACACTCACAGTCCCTCACAGTAGCAGCTGATATTTCTAACTGAGACAGATCAATTATCGGATCCAGCATGCTTCCAGATGAGGATTTTACTGTACAATTGGCTTGCTTCATTCACAGGATTTTGAGGGTTTTGAACTCCTCCCACCTCCTTTACCACACAAAATCGGTTCAGGAAGGAAAAATATAATAACTGAACGGTGCCTCTGAATGACAGTTCTAAGAGAACTATCATTGAGGATGCTTAGAGATGCTGAGAGCATCCCTTTCTCCCCTTATTTTCTTTTTTAACATGGCTTCCTCCTGCCTCATGTGGCTGCTGGCGCATAGCAGACCAGGCCCGGGTCAGTTGCCATCACCCCATCTGCGCCCGTTTCTCCTTCAGCGCATCCACAGAAACACCTGCCTCAGCTGAGGAAATATGTCCATATGCCCATGACCGTCCTCATTCTGTTGGTCGTGTTACAGCACAATCCCATGTGCCTACCCAGGAGTAAATCTCCATGAATTCCAGAAGATTTATTTACACGTATGTGTATTCAGGACCGATGCCTTCTCTCCTTTTGTGCAAGAACAGGGAAGCGCAGAAACCAGAGCCGGGGGGGGGGGGGGAGAAAAAGAGCTGAGAGAGCGTGTTTCTCTCTTTTTCTTTCTTCCCTTCCCTTTTAGAGGCATAGCAGCAGCCCCCGGGTCCCTGGCATCGCCTTATCTCCCCACCACAGACTGCTGAGGTGCTGGTTTGGTGTGCTCTGCACATGCCCTTCAGCCAAGAAAGCCTCTGTTTCCGCTCTGTGCCGCCCTCATCAAACTACTTTCTTCTACTCTGTTTCCCCCTCCTCCTGGGGCTCTAGGCAACAGCATAAAAAGAAACTTTAGAGATAATGTGCGCATGCAGTCACTCAGGCACATGTGCATGCATGTAAAATGAAGCGGTGTTGTGCTACAGCGCTAGCCCTCTTGGGGTCTTCTCTCGGTTTTGAGTGGAAACAGGATCTGGCGGTCAGAGCACAAGAAAAGGGCGAGGCAGTAAGGAGGAGAGAGTGCAGGTGTGAATACATTAATATAGCCAATCCCATTGATTTTTATTACTTATTTTAGTGAAGGGATTTCTAACCCACCTTCAAGAAAATGCCCAAGGCATTTTTAGATAGTATGGCCTCTTCCTGTCAGTGCACTCTGAAATGAAAAGATGTTTCTGATACTGCAACCTCTACATTTTGAAAGAGGATATTACACAAATGTGTTTCAAGGTTCATCATACACACACCTGCCAGGGAACTACAGCCCACCACAACTCCATGCTGTGTACACAGGTCACAGGACAGACCTCTAGCAGTGTTTCAGAGCATGGGCACATGCGTGCATAGATCCACCCCATCGTGCAGAAGTAAAATCTAGTGGCACAACATTGTCTGGGCTTATAGGGATGAAGTGCTGAAACATTTTGATGATGGTGTTTTGTTTGTGAGTGGTGGGGGAATAAATTTTCTAAAGGGGTTGGTACTTATTTGGACTACAACTCCCAGCATCCTTCAGGTAGTTATAGTCCCATATCCGCACACCTTCAGAATTTACCAACAATGATATATACTGTTTTCCCAACTTATTTGGACTACAACTCCCAGCATCCTCCAGGTAGTTATAGTCCCATATCTGCACACCTTCAGAATTTACCAACAGTGATACATACCGTTTCCCCAAAAATAAGACCCAACTGAAAACAAGCCCTAGTATGATTCTTCAGGATGCTCGTAATATAAGCCCTACCCCAAAAATAAGCCCCAGTTCAGTGAAACCCCGCCCTCCACCATTGTGCAGCAACCAGAAGATGACATGAGTGTATTTGAATAAATGTAATTGTTGTACATGAAAAAAATAAAACATCCCCTGAAAATAAGCCCTAATGTGTTTTTGGAGCAAAAAATTAATATAAGACCTTGTCTTATTTTCAGGAAAACACGTTAGCTCTGAGTTATTCCTGTTCTATTGCAAAACACTTTAGGGTAGTTTGGTCTTGAATAGACAATTGAAATCCATTAGTTTGACAGATGACCTGTTCCTGGTGGGGATGAAAACTTCTAGATAGGATTTGTTGACAGGGTTCAACACAGTTGTCTGCATTTGGTAGGGGTGATGGGGACCATCACGGTGAAACCTTACATTTCAACAAGTAACACCCCATCACTGTTAAGATCTTTCACAGTTCACACCCCCCCCAGTGGTTCTTATCAGCTGCAGAGAGGGGAGCAACTGGGACAGGATCATGGTACATCCCAGTTTAGTATGATATTTAGGGTGGCAAGATATGCACCATGGTCACAGAGGTATCAATGAGCCATAAAAGATTTTGAGACTCTGGAAAAGTGCCGTCTTTGGACCAATTCCTTCCTACTCTTCCTAGTACACGAAACTCTGCTTTCTTGGGAAACATCACACAAATGTCCTTCTCTGAGATATATTATAGCGGAGTAGAATTCCAGAAGCAAATCCTTTTGCCAACCCCGAGCGGCTGCCCTCCCAGACTCTGTCCTCCAGCCGCTGGGAGGCTGCTAAGATGCAGGAGACTGAAAGGGCTTTTATTGGTGAACAGATTCCTCCATCTTGAGGCTCTTATCTCCTCACTAAAGCCTGCTTAACTGCAATCCAATAATGCCGGGCCTTTGTCCCATTGTTTAAAAGTTTACCCACTAAACAAGGGTCTGAATAGAGGGATTATCCCTTCAAGAGGGTCAAGAGGGCTGAGACACAGAGGGAGAGGAGAGACAAAGGCCTGGAAGGAAGTCAGAAAGGCAGGCCAAGTCTCTCCCTGCGCCCCATAACCTTTGGAACAGAATCAAGGCCAGCTGATGACAGGGAGGGAAGGGAAGGGAGCCATATCACAAGGCTGGCGTACCAACCTTGCTTTGAGCACCAATGCACTTAACCGCTTTCCCCAAATGCAGTTTCATTTCTTTTCTTCTTTTTAACCCCAAGAAAAAGAAGGACTCCTATGACACTAAGAACAGCTTTTCACCTCCCTTGCATCCCTTGGAAAAGTTGTTAATGTTGTAAGAAAAAAAAGAGAACAAGAAAACAATGAATGGCACAAACAGAATCATTATTGCTGCCCAAGAGTGCAGCCAGATATTGTGCAGCCAAGCACATGAGTGGTCCACAAGGCAATTCTAAAAATGGGGGCACCACAAACATAAAATGATAACTTTGAAATTGGACCTCCCTTGCATCCCTTGGAAAAGTTGTTAATGTTGTAAGAAAAAAAAGAGAACAAGAAAACAATGAATGGCACAAACAGAATCATTATTGCTGCCCAAGAGTGCAGCCAGATATTGTGCAGCCAAGCACATGAGTGTTCCACAAGGCAATTCTAAAAATGGGGCCACCACAAACATAAAATGATAACTTTGGAATTGAACTTTGGATCAGCTTCAAATTGGGCACAGGTGTAGCAGACAATCTGCTCTTGCTCTGTGCCAGATTCAGACAAGAATGGTTTCCTGGGTCACTGCCAGGTAGAAATCAAACGCCTGTGGCCCCCCCCCTCCACCCCATTCAGGACTTGCCCAAAATATTTTGCTGCCCAACGAAGAAACTAAATGGTAGAGCTTGGCAGTAAATGTATCAGAAACAACAGATATATGTTATTTTGGTGTTGCAACAGCAACGTTTTCATTGTTTGGACACTCATGCCAACATGTACTTTTTTTTGGTATCGCAAGTAACATTTGCACTTTATTTCTGGGGGTGTCCTCTGGTGTGTTTTTTATATTCTGTAAAGATGGGGAAAAAACAGTTTAAAGTGCTGATATTATTATTGAATAATGCTGAACTAAAGACTAGTATAACATACAGCTTTTTATGCAGTGAGCAACCAGTAACAAGTACATTTTAGCTGTTTGAAACAGAACATGAATCTTAGGTTTCAAAAGAACCAAATAATACATCATGTTCTGCTAAAAAGCGAATGCATCAATTATTTATCTATTTATTTAAAATATTCTTATCCCGCCTTTCTCCTTAAGAAAGACCCAATGAACCGCTGATTCGGCAGTTTGTGTCAGTTGATCCTTTGGGTTTGTTTGTTTGTTTGTTTATTTATTTATTTTGATTTGATTTGTATCTCACCCAACTGGTCTATGCGACCACTCTGAGCGGCAGGTGCTTGGCGCTTTCCAGCTCTGCCTCCTCCAGTGGGCGTCCACTCAGAGGCAGTGCTCAGAGGAGGCAGGGCAAGGAAGCTGGACAGCCGCTTCTGAGTGGGTGCCTGACAGAGGAGGTGGGGCAGGGAACCACCCGAACATCGAAGGACAAACCGGCATGGCGGTTCATGCCCATCTCTAACAATATCGAAAGCTAAAAACAGTAAGTCTACAAATACAGTGGAACCTCTGCTTAAGAACTTAATCCGTTTTGGAATGGTGTTCTTAAGTTGAAACGTTCTTAAGTTGAAGCAAAATTTCCCATAGGAATGGACTGAAAACCAATTAATCCGTTCTGGCTGTTTTTTTGTTATGTAGAGGTGCGTTCGTACATTGAAGCATTAGTTCCCATAGGAACTAATGCAAAGCTGGTTAATACGTACTCTACCACTAGGGGGAGAATTTTTTTTAACCTAAGATGACCTAAGGTTAAAACAAGAGCAGGAAAAGTTTTTTTTTCCTGTTCTTATCTTGGATTTCTGTTCTCAAGTAGAAGCAAAATTTAGCAAATGGAGCTGTTCTTAAGTTGGATTGTTCTTAAGTAGGGACGTTCTTAAGTAGAGACCCCACTGTACTAAAAAAGATCAAACAGATACCACGCTAAAACAGAGTAAACAAAAGCAACATCAAAAACACATTCCAAGCAGTAAGGCACAAACAAAACGCCCACTCATTCTGCAGAGTGCAGAAATATAGGCCCCACTATCACCTGGATTTGAGTATTGGACTTGATGGTTACTGAGGAATGAAAGAGGAAATTCTTTGTCAGAGGCAGTGTATATTGTTTTTGTATTTTAGGGTTCAAAGTTCTCTCTCCCCACTGCACCGTTTCCTGTGTGCTGGATTTAGGAATACAAGATATTTGAGAGACAGCAATCTGATTTCTGGACTCTTGTGTGCGACCTTTCTTGGATCAGCAGCTGCAACTGAAGCACAAAAGCATCTTAGAACTGCAGAGAAGGGACCCTATGGGCATCAAGTCCAGCCCTTGTCAAGGAAGCTCAGTGGGAAATCAAGCTCCTAGCCTTGGGCTCCGGAGCTAGAGACCCAAACCACTGAGCTATCCAGCAGTCTCTTAAGGGACACATGCATGCGAAGTATCCTACTTAAGAGGTATTTGAATTATTATCTGTTGAAAAAACTGCAGACTTCCATAATCTTGTTGGCAACAAGTCATTGACAAATTAGCTAACTCAGAATCCTGGAGATTAGTACCCAAGAGACCCTTCAAGTATGATCCAAAGCCTCTCCACGCTAAGGTCCTCCTTAATCCACCATTAATGTAGCTGCTTTCACCAAACCTTCTAGTATGGGTGACTTTCGAACGTGGCAGCATATTCTAATTCTGCATTTCAATGAAGCCACTAATGAAATAACTTTTAAAGGATGCAAGCACCTCTTATAAAGAAGGAGTCCCTATTTGCAGTTCCCTCTGTTGCATCTCCTAGAAAAGAGAGCTCTTCATTGGAATTGTTAAATTTCAAGGCCCAAAATGCCTCCTCAGATTGCAATTATTTGTATTGATGGATGATACTCACAAGATAAAGAGTACAATTGAAATAATTCCCCCCCCAACTGCGTAGCCAGAAACCATAAAACATACTCATTATGAAACTACTTTCCATTAACGATACAGTTAATAACAGAATTTATAATTATTTTGCACGGTTATTTCTGTATATCAATGCAGTTAATAATTCAGGCGTCCTCCCTACCTACAGTAGATCTTGAAAATATTACTTTTTGTGATTATGGTTGCCAGAATCCCTCAGTCAGCATGCTCGAGCTACTGGAGGATTCTGGGAATTTTAGTAATGTTTCTAAGGTCTGAATCCAAACGCTCAGTCACTGACTTCATCATGAGGGGGGCATAAGATTGCATGTGGAGCATGACTCAAGATGGTGGCTTTTCTGGTTTATGCCTCATCTAATGTTGGCGAATTGGGAGCCCATGAGCTGAAATAGACAGAGCAGTGTCCT